CCGAAAAAAAAAATGACGTGCATCAAGGTCCTATTATGTTTAATGTATGTACCAAATTTGAACAAAATCCATCCATGCATAACTGAGATCCAGGTCCGGAATGGTGAAAATGTGCGATTTCAATGCATTTTCGACCTTAAAGCGGCCGCCATTTGGCTATCGTTAATGAGATCATGAAACAAATGCACATACATATTTGTGACATGATGTACCTTGTGTGTGTGAAGTTTGAACTTGATCAATCCAGGCATGTCTCAGATACGGATCCAGAACTGAATTCTTAAAAACAAAATGACCGCCAGTCGGCCATTTCAAACCCGATCCAAAAAAAACATGAGGTGCATCAAGGTCCTATTATGTTTAATGTATGTACCAAATTTGAACAAAATCCGTCCTTGCATAACTGAGATCCGGGTCCGGAATGTTGAAAAAATGCGATTTTGATGCATTTTCGGCCTTAAAATGGCCGCTATTCGGCTATCGTTAATCGGATCATGAAAAAAATGCATGTGCATATGTCCCATATAATGTGTGATGTATGAGTGAAGTTTGAACTTAATCAGTCCATGCATGTTCGAGATACAGGTGATCACGGACGCACGGACGCACACAGGGCAAAACATAAGTCCCCATTTTCAGACTACGTCCGAACGGGGACTAAAAATGGTCACCAATCAACCATATTTGGTCGAATGACAAAAAAAAGGATGTGCAACCCAATGTATAAAATCATTAAACCAACTTTGATCCAATTGGCCCAGTCATCTTCAAGAAACAGCTCTGACCATGCTTTTAATTGAATTAATTACGAAAATAATGTTGGAAAAGATGTATCCCTTGGTACTGGTATGTACTAAGATTAAACAGAAAAGGTAATTTCATTCCAGAGAAACTGGCATGGAACCCATAAAAAAGAAAATGGCTGCCAGTCAGCAATATTTGTTGAAATCACACAAAAAAGATTGATTATGAAAGGATCAATTTCATGCAATTTGCAGAAGAAAGCAATGATCTATTTAAATGTGTTAATTGAAATTGATGTAGTTGTAGTATGATAGCGGATTACAAGACATAAATGTCAATCTATAATGACCGAAACTCATATGACAGATATGATACAGATTGGAGCCAGTCTATTCAAGCATTTTTGGGCATTTATGTTGAATGAGATTGGTCAAGGAATTCATTAAAACTAAATGGCTACAATGAATGATTGAAATATGTCCATGCACGAACATGATCCAGTTCTGGAATGACAGAATGATGAATTTTTTGCACTTAAATGGCTGCCATTCGGCCATCTTGAATTAGTAAATGTAAGAAATGCTTGTGCTTACGTATATATCAATAATGTGTGATGTATTTGTAAAGTTTGAATGTGATCAGAGAAATCATAAAATTTTTTGTAATATAGTCAATTTTCGATTGTTGAACAGAGAATCTTGTGTGCAATCTAAGATGAAAAGTCAACACAACTAAAGCCACAACACTGCTTGATGTTGTTCGGCTATTAGCAAGTCAGATGATTTGAGAATCCCGTGGTTGTGTTCATCACAGTATGCATACTACTTACCATGTCAAAGGCTTCAATCAAAATTTACCCGACAATACAGTTTTACCAGACTTGTGCAGTCGATCATAAATATGAAAAATTTTCTGAGACTGAACCGACGGACTCACCTTTGGTTTTCCTTGAGCAATGAGTCTTGTTCTAATAACATCAAATGGTTGAGAAGCCGACGACGCAAGACAACCAGAAACACCGCCACAAAGAAAGTGATAGACCGGTTTATAATGTCCATTTGTGTATTGATATGGTAATCTACCAGTTCCTAATTTTGTGATTCGCTCAAAGGCAAGAAACTGCAAGATATGAGATTATGGATAGCTGGATGTATAAGATGAAGCTACACATTCTGTTTGATATATGCGATGCTGATCTCATCTTAAGACAGTTCAAAGAGAATTCAAATTTTGCTCTAATTTGCATAATACTGTACATATATGCATTGCATTGTGGGATAGGTACACAATAGAAACCATATATCATCCTGGAATTTGACTAAAATAAATATTTTTGCAAAGTTGTAACAAAAATAATTTCGTTGGATGCAATTCACTTAATGATGCACGTTTTTTTGTATTCCAATTTTGTTTGATCGGGAAAACGCCTCTCATTGACCACTGAAAGCATCATAGGTGGCTTTATACAGTTCATGAGAAATCTTATCCATCAGACTTCAGAAATTGAGACCCTCCTAAAATAGAGTAAAGTACCCTTGAGGGATTACAAGAATGAAAACTATGTTTGATTGGTGCCACTTTAATGATTGTTTACAGTTAATGGAAAATCCTAATTTTAACATAAATTTTAATAGTTTAAAAACATTTTGTATGAAAAATACCAGAAAATGACTGGGTTTTTCACTAAATGTTATAATGTGTCCTTAACTTAACAAAATCAGCAAAACATATGATGATATGATTCACATTTACACAACACAGATTCATAGTCAAAAATAAGTGAATTTTTCAAAACTTTTTACAAATCTTGAAAACACAACCTGCCTATACATAGTTTCATTTTCACTCACCCAATGTTGATTAGATAGGATACAGGTGAACAAAACATTTGTTGTTGTTAGTGTGCAACCTAATATAATAAATAGTATTAAGTTTTCCAACTTCCTAAAAATGAAGGTACTAGTAATACACAAAAAGTAGTTAATGATATGCAAATTAGCTATGTAACATTTTGAACACTACAAGACACTATACTGTAGAATACTTTATTTTCGCTTGGAATTTAATTTCGCTATTTTTCGCTGAAAGGATGATTCCGTGAAAATAAAATCCAGCTAATATACTTTTCTTCCTATATTTCACATTAAACTCATCAAAAATCAGTGAAAATAAATTACATACAAAACGCCCAAAAAGCCTTTCCAGCGAAAATTAATTCCAGCGAAAATAAAGTATTCCACAGTATTTGGTGCAATATTATTCACATTTTAAGGATGATTTCTTTTTTTAATTGTAACCTAAATGAACATGATTACATGAATTGGTTGATAGTCAGAAATTGTAAAAAATATTATAAGTTTATTTTAGCTAGATGACATATATATGATATGAAACATTAGCATATTTAGCCAAGAATGAAACAAGTTACAGGTCAATTAATTTTGTGAAATCAACTTATTGGTATTTTTATTCTGGAATTTCCATTACATTTGGGATTGTTAATGATAATAATTTTTTTTTTTCAAAAAAGCTGTGAGGTGCATGTTTTCAACTGACACACACAGTAACCATAAAAATGAACATCACTGTATCTCAGCGCGTTGTAAGTGCCCATAAATATTCCTAAATATAGTTCAGAATGAAATATACTCCTACCTGTACAGCACCAAACATAAAACACAATAATTGAACAGGGACAAGTCCCTTCCAGAATGCTACAAGACCCTCTTCATGTGATATAGTTCTGACAGCTTGTACCATACCACTGTACTTGGCAGACTTAGAACTTAGTGGCTCAACTTGTAACTATAAAAAATCAATCAAAAATTTGCATAGAGATGTATGTTTAAATACCACCTGGTACTGTATGCAAAGTGAACTGGGATTCAATATTACCCTTGATTAAACGTTTATGAAAATGTTACTAAAAAAAATGAAAAATATTACTCGCACAAACTCAATGGATCAGAATTGAATCTAATTCTTAACATCTTGGTATCAGCACATACCCGATCATTGTAATATATCTCTGATAACAACTGCCAAGATTGTGTATCCTCGGGGGCGGACATCCGGGCATTTTCACCGCCTGGCAACCCGCGGCGGTGAAAACAAAGGCCAAAAACTCGCAGAAAACGGTACTTTGCGATGGTTGATGAGAGTCCTCTGAACAGTGTAACAAGATTAGCCCTACGTGTATAACATATATAAATTTGGTTGTTCGGGATTACTTGGAAGTTGAGTTTGTATTGTTTTTTCGAATTTTCACCGGCTTGACCGGCGTTCCACAGCAGCGCACACAGAGTCCATAGAAATGCATGGTACAGTGGTGCGCGTCTTAGCAACGTGGAACGTCTGGTGACGTAACTCCGCCCCCGAGGATTAAACTGAAAACTGAATCAAAAATGAACATAAATGACAAGCTAGAAAAACAATTCCCCTTTCCTGTAACATAGCAACCAGGTAACCTAGCAACAAGGTAACATAGCAACCAGGTAGCATAGCAACCAGGTATTTGTAACACTGCAAAAATGGAACTCAAAATTAGTCTAGTTTGGAATTGCTGAAATTTGTTTTTTCTTTTTCAAAAAATTATCAAAATAATTCTCAAAACTTTGAAATATTAATGACTCTCTGGAAATCTAAATGAAAAAAAAAAACACATCAACAATGCAAATGTATAAAAAAAAAAAAAATTAAAAACCTGAAATCTTATTTTGAGCACATCTAAAGGCTGAACAAGACATCTTGTAATCACTCCACTCAAAGCACCAGCAGTAGCATACTCCCATCCTGATAGCGTTCCTTTTGCCTCTGAATCAAACCCAACCATACCTACAAGAACACAATACGTAGTCACACAAAACTGTAAAATATACGTCAATTATTTCTAGCGTAGTTCGCAATCAACGTAACTAAAGCATTACGTCATGGGGTTAATTATTCATTTGTTGTGGAAAAAATAAATAAGTAAACAAAAACTAGAATCGTGACAGATATTCTCATCAAGCATGTGTTTTCATTACATGTAAATAAACGATGTGTTTTACATGCGTTGTATTTGTCACATTGAATATGTCGCAGAGAGACGACTTAAATTGTGGCTTTAACCATTGCGGTATAATATAGTTATCGTTTATACACACGTTTGTTTACTATGTTTTACATTTATCGTTACATTTCCACGTATTTCAATGGCAAACACAACTGTAACCATTCATGCCATTTCTACCTTATGTGCGAACCTGAGAGAAGATGCATCCAACCTTGATACAATGTCAAGTATGAAAACTTTTAACCAATGCAAGTTCATGTGAATCCTACCAAGGCCAACAAGTACTACCGACCCCTTGATTGAACTAAGCTTCCCCCTGATTTAAATAACATAATGTTCTTAACTTTCCAAGCCCAGCGTTGTTTCCTCTTTTCTGCCTCATCATGTGCAATACCACTATCTGGCATTGATAAGAGGCGCAACCAATATTTTAAAATTGGGTAATTGGCAACACACACTGTGATGACATTCACCTAAATGTCCAATTAAAACCATTGTTAGCACGACTTCAAAACATTTCCATATCATGGAGTGCATACGTGATGTTGTATTACTATTACTGCACAAGTTTTGTTTTTTTGTTTACTTAAATTAATTTTTGAGCAGAACTATTTGCTCTACATAGTAAGAGGTAGTGATGCATTATTGAATTGGGCTCGCAAATTGTTTGAATATTACCAAATTATTTTCAAACCAATTAACCTGCAAATGTATTCTTCCATCCATATACCGGTACAACATATGTGACAAATCTCTTTACTCTTTATCTGAAAAACTTCTACCAAAATCATTCATCTATAACGAAAAATAAAAAAAAAAACTATAACTTACTTTGGACATAACTTACTTTGGACATAAAAGGTAGAATGAAAACTTTGGATGTCTCAACAAAATCTGAAAAATATAAAATTCAAACATTCACGTTGGATGTACGTATGAAAGAACTAATGTTTTTGGAACTCATAGTTGCTGTCGACATAGGAAGTAAAGTAAGCAAATAACACCGAATAAACGGCAAGGTAAAGACTATGTCTAATTATAGTAAATACGTACTGCGTGCGTGACTCGAACCGGCGCTCGCGTACGGCACCTAATCGCCTAGCTTCACGCCACTACACGTCTTCCCCTCGGCCACCGGGCATCCCCAAAAAAGGATGCTTAATAACCGAGCTTATTACTAGCAGAGAACGTGAAACCCGTCCACGCGATACGCGCCACACAGCATGGCCAGAATGCGGCAAAGGCCTTCAGATCTGGCTGTAGTAGGATGGTGAAAGTAATGGTACAGCATTTTAACAGTGAATAAGTACTGAGAAATAATTTTTAAACTCATAGTTGCTGTCGACATAGGAAGTAAAGTAAGCAAATAACACCGAATAAACGGCAAGGTAAAGACTATGTCTAATTATAGTAAATACGTACTGCGTGCGTGACTCGAACCGGCGCTCGCGTACGGCACCTAATCGCCTAGCTTCACGCCACTACACGTCTTCCCCTCGGCCACCGGGCATCCCCAAAAAAGGATGCTTAATAACCGAGCTTATTACG